AGCCAAAAGCTGGCAAGACGGCCGACGCATTCCCCTTTCAGGAGGAAAAACGGTCAGAGCAGGTCTGACTCCTTGGTACCAGCCAGCATCAATTTATTGACTCAACGAATCGTAGGCTGCCCAAAACATTTTTCGGCTACCATGTCCAGCAGCCGAAAGATTCACCGAGAATTCAGTCATTTTCTAAAAATCTGGCGCGGCTACCCCCTTGGCATAACCAGTAGCAGCTCTCTGTGGGTGCAGCTAGGCAGACACTGCTGTGATGTACGGAATGAGTAAAGTGCAAACCACGTGTGACGGATTCGAGAGCGTCCAGCGCATCACCGACAGTGCACTGCAGTTCATCAGGTTCGGCGTGTTGTGGCTCTGGCTGCATTTCATAAGCGACCGAAGTACTACTGCTAAGCGTCGTTGTGAGAATGGCGGGTGCACGTAGTACCGGAGAGGTGCGCAACGGCGATGCGAGTGCCAGCGTGGACGCGGCGTGCTGTGTTGGCGTGAATCGAGCGGGCTGCTGTGGTGGAGCGGAAGAGACGGAAGTGCCTGACAGTGACGAATCTGCATCGAAAATTGACCCAGACTGTACGGTAGAATTTTCTGATGCGGCGGAGCATGCTCCTCCCTGTTGTTGAGAAACAACAGCTGATGGCCCTGAACTGAGCAAACCGACAACCGGCCTGCAAGGCATCGACGGTTTGGGATTCGAAGGTGTTGAAGTCTGCCCCATCTGATACGCAGAACTTTGAAATTCCGATAACGCTGCTGAGGGTGCTCGGCACCGTTGACGAATCATCGGAAGCCGCAAGCTATGAAATTCAACTGGACGGGTAAGCGCTGCAGGCCTGAAATTTAAATTTAGTAAGTTAACCACATCTACCTGGTAGAAAAATGCAAGTTTTTTCTTAAAAACACATATGACTTTTCAGTCAACTTCCGAGACAGTACTGCATCTTGCCTGGTAAAAGTTAGACAACGGATCAGTTTGAACAAACACGAATTATCAAAAAATCTCCCACCAAAACGCACATACACAACAGAGTCTTTTTGGCGGTCTTATTAAAGGTAGAAAGTGGTAAAGGTATGAAGAAAAGAGCATTGTTTCCCGAAAATTTCCCGCAGGGCATTTGAAAATATGTAAGTGAAAAGGGAGAATAAGAGTTTTTGCATCGTTAATGAAGTACTTCAAATGCTTATTTTCATAGATGGCATTGTGCTCATCGCAGCCGATACAAAGCCTTGCGATGAAAGCGAAAAA